TCTTTAATATATAATATTAATGTCTGATACCAAAGCCTGTACAGTATTTTATGTATTTCAGATTCGATCCTTCCAGCCACCCCGTAAAATCCAAAGGCATTCCAATAGGTATTTTACAGATGAGGAAGCATACAGGGAGGACAAGATACATGATTTATCCAAGATTAAGTGGTAGGGTTAGGACAGGTGACTCTTTTTCTTTTTTCTTCTCTTCTTCTGGAGAGATTTTTGCTATTGGGCTTATGCTCTCACTGGAGAGACAGAGAAACAGAAAGTGAGAAATCACACCATGGGGAGGATGGCCAAGTTGAATCCCTTCTCCTCCATTCTCTTCTCAGAACTTTGTGCACGCACGCACACACATCCAATGTGAGTTTTAAGCCACTGGGCCCGGGACTCAAATTGCACTCAACTATGTGCGAGTCTGACAACGTAACTATTACGCCATTTGCTGGTCCCAGAACAGACAGTCTTCTAACTTGAGTCCAGAATAATGCTACTCAGATTCCTGTTGAACTATGATGCGTTTTCCTGGTAATAGTTGTGGCTTTGCATAGATCCAGCTATTCCTATCTCACCAGAGGAATGATGTGTGTGTGTGCACAGACACGTAGGTGCAAGTGCATATGTGTGATGCGATCCATCTTAGTAAGTTTAGGTATAGTTTGTACCAATAACATAAAGTGAACAATACTTGCAATCTAGCAAACACTAAAAATGAAAAGCAGCAAACAAAAGTGCATAATGAATGCTGGACATCTTCCTGAGGTTTGAGTATGATTTTATTGCTACACTAGAGCCAAAAGTTGGTAAAGGATGAAACCAGGAGCTGCTGGTTTCACAGCCTTGGGCACCCTCTGAATGCTAGCTACCTTTAGAGCACTTTTCACTTGCCAGACATGCTACCAATGTTATTTCATCGACTCCAGATAGCCATCCTATGGATTAGGTTTTTATCATCACCCCCATTTTTCAAATGGAGAAACTGAAACATAGAGATTTTAAGTACCATGTATGCACAGAGCCATCTGGGTAACAAGTGGTGGATGAAGCCTAGAGCTGAAGGCAGGGTCTCTGTTCATCATCTTTACACATACTTCTGGACCATCAAGTATGCATTTAACACTCTGGCTGCTTTAAAAATATGGTTTCCACATTGAAACCTAATAATCTTAATGGTTGCATTGTATGTGCATTTGCAGCATTATCTTTTAACAGAAAGGGTGACATTTGTTCTGGTTTAATTTCATTTTTAGCATGCTTTAAGGGCTTAGTACATGACAGATATAAGTGAGATGTTTTCCCATTTGTCAAAGTTAATCCTCACTTGGGAGATTGGTATTGTTTTTCTCACTGGCAGATAGAGAATTTGAGACTGGGAGAAAGTAAGTGACCTGTCCAGGTACGAGTACAAGGACAAAGGCTGGATTTGACCCCAGCCTGATTCCACGCCCTCTGGCCTTTCTCTGCACCTTGATACTTTGGTCATGGTGACCACAGCCAGAGGGTACTGCGATGAGCTTCTGGACCTAGCCTCACTATAAGTGACAAAACCAGAACCAGAAATAAAGATATTTAAGATTTGCAAAATTATCTTCTCTCCATGTGGGGACCAGGGAACCCTCATATGCATATCTTAGCACATTTCATTAACACACAGTAATCAAACCCAGTTTTTCTTTCCTCCCTTTGGGTCTTAGTAATCTTTCTTTTATAAAATAAAATTTTTATTTTTAATCAAATGCACTATCTTATACTTCTTGATCTTAGATCTATTTTTGAGAAGATGGCTGTATTTGTGGTTTGGTTTTCAATAAATGGTTTTTGCTCTAACGGAACAGAACAATATGATGTTACAAAGGTCAGGATCATCTGTTTAACTAGATAGAACTAATCCCAAATTGATTCCTATTCGTGCTTGTTAGAAAAATAGATGTACAGTGGGGAGAATGCTGATATTTTAGAAATCCATGTGCTTTAGGTAGAATCCATTATAGGTAAATGTTTAGGGACCAGGAGTTATTTTAGATAGACGTGACTATTTTTTCTCCCTTGTTTGTCTCTTTAAATATCATTTGCAAAATGTCTCCAGTACAGTGAGCCCACGAGTTGATCAAATACGTGCATTTCCTATTTATACCCACACCTTCACACAACACTGAGGACATTAAATCCCCTACTGCCCAAGTGAAAAAAGAAGAAAAAGAAAGAATGAGTTTCCAAATAGGAGTTTACCATCAACCAAAAACACTTTGGTGCTAGATTAAGCCACACTACATTTCTTCCTCTAAAACTATTTGGTACTGACTTTCATTCTGTTGAGAGTAGTTGCTTCATTTCACAGAACATGAAAATAAGGGAGAAACATCCTAGAAATGTATGAGTTAATTGAGGCTCATTTACAAATAATAATAAAGTTGGTCTGTTCAAAACATTACTGTTTTCTATTCAAATATCCACCCGAGGGATCAGCAGGTGGTGTGGCAGTGAATGCACTGGACACTCCCACATGGTCAACCAGGGTTTGAGTCCCAAACCTAGTGACTTGCTTTCTCGCTTTCTCTCTCTCTTTGGTCAAATTAAAATATAAATGAATGAGTAAATAAAATTTAAAATAAATACTTCTTTGGTTAAAAAAAAAAGTATCCACTGGAAAGATCTTGAATGCATACATGAAACATGTGCAAAAATTTCTGGACCTATATTTAGGAAGTGACTTAACGTGGATGACTTTTTAAGGAATCATGGGTACGAGGAGCTTGTTCACATGTGCATGTGCACGGGTGTGAACTCAGTGAGTTTCTCACAGTTTTTTCCTTACAACTACTTTGTTGTTGCTTATCCTTCGCTCCTAAGAAAGGCTGATAGCTCTGGAAGAGTGAGGCCCTTGAGAAATGACATGGAAGAGGTGGTGGCTTGGGCATTTCACGGGTAAAGAAATCCCATGCCATTTTAACATCCACCGTAAGGGACTGTGTGACTGTCTTAGCAGGCTCCAGGATCACGCAGATTTAATGGCAGAACAAAGATATTGGGTTAGGTGATTGCCGCCATTGGGTTAACGTGGATGTTATTCTAAATGAGTGACCCAAATAGAAAAGCCTTCAAGGTTATGGGTCATTGCAAGCCTTTCCCTGGTTTCTGTTTGCAGCTGCTCATTGATGGGGGCTTTCCCACATAGGGAATGTCTCTCTCTCTCGAGGTGCATGTATGTGTGTGTGTGTGTGTGTGTGTGTGTGTGAGTGTGTGTATAGGAAAGAGACAGGTGAAGAAGGGAGAGAGAAAAGAGTGGGAGAGGAGGGAATGGAGAGAGAAAGGGAAAGAAAGGAGGGGGAGAGACACACAGAGAAGAGGAGAGGGAAAAAAGGAGGGAGGGAGAATAATAGAGAAGAAAAGATACACATGGAAGGGTATAGGGAGAGAAAGAGAGGAACTGGAAGAGAAAGAGGGAGTGGAGAGAGGAAGAGAGCGAGAAAGGGGGTGGAGGAGGAAGAGGGAGCAGGGAGAGATGGGGGTGGGGAGACAAATAGAGAAAGGGGTAAAGGGAGAAAAGGAGGGAGGGAGAGTGACAAGGAGGGAGAAAGACACATAAGGGGAAGAGAGATAGAAAGAGATGGGGAAAAAGAGGGGGTAGAGAGAAGGAGAGAGTAGGGAGAGATAGAGATGGAGAGAGAGACAGAAAGAGAAAGAAGGCAGGCAAGAGCAAGTGTGGAGGTATGGCCACTTTGGGGATGGAGCTGTGGCAGCAGAGGGGAGCTTCTTCCTGAGTCTGCTTATGAGTCAGCTGGAGTTCTAGAAATGCCCCGTCTCAGATGGAATATTTATATGTACAAAGCAAAATGAGGGTTTCAAAAGTACGGACTTTACCAAGTTATACCTAACAAGTCCTGAAGTTGAGAGTTGCTTTCTTTACAACATGTGTGCATTCGCTTTTGCAGTATTTTCTTTTGCTTGTGTTACAGTTCCACTTCTGGTTCTTTTAGACCCCTGAGTGCCTAACAGTGAGTGTCAGGGGTGGTTTAGAGAAAACAGGCCTTTTCAGAAGCAGTCTCTGACCTGCCCGCCAGTGCTGCAGGCTGCACGGCTCT